AGTTAACCATAAGAAAAGGGAAGGGATAACCCATTTGATGTACAGTTTGACTTTTTGTAGGGCTGTGGCCTTCTCAAGCTTCATTCACTAAATCAACTTGGTGTGTGGTCAGTTCATTGTTATGAAATTTTATTCTATAGGGGGACATGAGAGAAGCCTCCTCACTGAATTGCAAGACATCTGGGCGTCCCCTGGGCAACATCTTCGTAGATGGCTGATTCTCTCACTCCAGAAGCAACCAGAAGCTACTTGCAGCATGCAAACAAGCAAGCAAAACAACCAACGGACCTTTTCAGGACCAACTATGACAATAATCTCAATCTACATTGAAGGCATATCAGCTGCCAAAAAATAACTGCTCTATGAACTGTGCCAAGATAAGAAATGTGATGTGCTGTGTGTCCAAGAAACACACAGGGATGAACAACAGAAACGATCAAAAGTTCCAGGAATGGTCTTAGTAGCGGAAAGACCACATGCGCAGTATGGAAGCGCTGTCTTTGTAAAACCAGGCTTCCAAGTCAGCAGTGCCAACAAAACTGAAGAAAACAATAAAGAGTAACAATATAGAGTAACAGTAGAGCTTAATAACATCATCATCACTTCTGTGTACAAGCCCCCAAATGAAGAGTTTTGTTTCTCCTCCCCTGAGAACTTTGATAGGCACCAAAGGGTGGTGCCCTTTAAAAGCCATAGCCATGTATGGGGCTATGCTCAAGAGGATAAAAATGGAGAGGCTGTCCTCACCTGGTCTGAACTGCACAAACTATCACTCATTCATGATAGTAAGCTCCCACCATCATAGAAGAGTGGGAGATGGCACCGAGGTTATAACCCAGACCTCTTATTTGTGAGCGACAGCATTGTACAGCAATGCACTAGATCAGTGGGACCACCAATCCCAAACACACAGCACTGACCAATAGTATGCCAACTGTTCCCAACTATAAGACCTCAGGAAGTTCGATTTAAATGAAAATTCAACTTCAGAAAGGCAGATTGGACAAGATTCTCAGACATGTTAGATGAAATGATCATATCAGTCGCGCCAATCCCTACGAAATACAAGCACTTTATTGAAATAGTGAAACCTTCTCATGGAAAACTATTAGAGGCTCCACAATGAAGACCCATTTAGTGAGCAAACCCTTCAGGCAGCGCAGGGCATTGTGTCCTCCATCTCTGAAACCAAGAAAGAACAGTGGATAAAGCTGATCACAGAGGTCAACATGGACAGGAGCAGCCAGAAGGTGTGGAGGCTGCTAAGACGGTTGAGCAATGACCCCTCACAAACTAATACCCAGGCCAACATAAATGCAGATAAGATAGCACACCAACTGTTGAAGAATGGGAAACCCAAGCTTGCCACCAAAGTAGGAAAGAAACCAATAGCCAGACAACCAGAGATTGAGAACAACAACCTTCTTGAACCCTTTACATCTACTGAATTGGACATGGCTCTCAATAAATGTAAAAATGGCAAAGCAGCTGGCCTGGATGATCTATGGATGGAACAAATCAAGGACTTTGGTCCACAAGCAAGGTGCTGGCTGCTGGAGCTGATGAACAACTGCACGGCATCCTGTCGGATCTCCAAAATCTGGAGGAAAGCAAGAGTCATCACCATCTTCAAGCCAGGCAAAGACCGTAATGATCCAAAAAGCTAAAGACCAATCTCCCTGTTGTGCCACCTCTACAAAGTTCCGGAGAGACTTATTTTGCATAGAATTATGGAAAAAATAGACCCATGTCTGATTCCACAGCAAGCTGGCTTCAGGAAAGGCAAAAGCTGCACATCACAAATGCTGAACCTGACTCAGCACATAGAAGATGGCTTTGAAAGGCAGCAGAATACAGGAGCTATCTTCATAGACCTGTCAGTGGCTTATGATACTGCAAACCACTGCCTCCTCCTGAGAAAAATGTGTAATATCACAAAGGACTACCACCTCATCCACCTCATAGGAAACCTGCTACAAAACAGGAGCTTTTTTGTTGAGTTCTAGGGCCAGAGGAGTAGATGGCGGAAAGAGAAGAACGGCCTGCCTCAGGGGAGCATGCTTGCTCCATCCATGTTCAACATGTACACAAATGACCAGCCACTGCCAGAAGGGACAGAGATCTTCATCTATGCGGATGATCGTGCCATTACTGCTCAAGCAGGGAGCTTTGAGATGGTAGAACAGAAGCTCTCCGAAGCTCTAGGTGCCCTTACTGCCTACTACAGGGAAAACCAGCTGATCCCTAATCCATCTAAAACACAGCCATGTGCCTTTCACATTAAGAACAGACAAGCATCCTGAGCTCTGAGGATTGCCTAGGAAGGAATCCCACTGGAGCATTGCAGCACACCCAAATACCTGGGAGTCACCCTGGACCGTGCTCTGACCTACAAGAAGCACTGCCTGAATATCAAGCAAAAAGTGGGCGCTAGAAACAATATCATACGAAAGCTGACTGGCACAACCTGGGGATCACAACCAGACACAGTGAAGACATCTGCCCTTGCGCTATGCTACTCTGCTGCTGAGTATGCATGCCCAGTGTGGAACACATTTCACCATGCTAAAACAGTGGATGTGGCTCTTAATGAGACATGCCGCATTATCACAGGGTGTCTGCGCCCTACACCACTGGTGAAATTACACTGTCTAGCCAGTATTGCACCACCTGACATCCGATGGGAAGTAGCAGCCAATAGTGAAAGGACCAAGGCAGTGACATCTCCAGCTCATCCCTTGTTTGGGCATCAGCCAGCACATCAACGACTTAAATCAAGAAATAGTTTTCTAAGATCTACAGGGACACTTGCTGGAACACCTAAGCAAGCGAGAGTCCAAAAGTGGCAAGCTCAAACCCAGAACCTCAACTAATGGCTGATACCAAATGAGAGACTCCCTCCTGGGCACGCAGAAGACTGGGCGACTTGGAAGGTGCTGAACAGACTGCACTCTGGCACCCCAAGAGGCAGAGCCAATCTTAGGAAATGGGGCTACAAAGTGGAATCCAAGACATGCGAGTGTGGAGAAGAGCAAACCACAGACCACCTGCTGCAATACACCCTGAGCCCTGCTACATGCACAATGGAGGACCTTCTTGCGGCAACACCAGAGGCACTCCAAGTGGCCAGATACTGGTCAAAGGACATTTAATCAACTACCAAGCTTGCAAATTTTATGTTTTGTCTGTTTGTTTGTTTTGTTCTGTTAGAAATGTAATACAATTGTCTCGTTGCCCCTGACACGATAAATAAATAAATTCTATAGGGAACGGAGGTGGTAGCCTAGTACAATAACAAAGGTGTAGTGATACACTTTGCTTGTAGAATGTAGGAACTCAACCAAAGCAATATGAAATACTATTTCTCCATGTCATCAGGCACTAGTTGAGGTATGGATGTAGAACAGTGGTTCTCAATCTGGGGTCTCCAGATGTTTTTAGCCTACAACTCCCAGAAATCCTAGCCAGTTTACCAGCTGTTAGGATTTCTGGGAATTGAAGGCCAAAAACATCGGGGGAACCCAGGTTGAGAACCACTGGTGTAAAAGATCCCTAGACTCAGTTGGTATAATTGACTAGATGAGGATCAAAACACTGAAGCAATCCTGAAAAGTTGGAGATACTGTCAATGGCCGAATTTGATGTTTGGGGAATAGAAGTTCAGCTTATTCTAAATCTGAGGTGATCCTTCATCAAATAGAAGCAGATCATAAGCTTGGAGATGCTTCCTGGTTTTGCTTTATCAGCAGAGGTCTAGGTGATTGCCTCTGGACTGGGATAGTTTACTCATGGTGATTCACCACCGTTAATTTCCCAGGTGGATTATTGTGGTATGGTTGAAGGCTTTCACAGATGGAATCACTGTGGTTTTGTGTAGTTTCCGGGCTGTATGGCCTTGTTCTAGCAGTTTTTTCTCCTGATGTTTCACCTGCATTCCCTGAAGATGCAAGCCATAGATACAAGAAAAACTGCAGGAGAAAATTCTGCTAGAACATGGTCATACAGCCCGGAAACCACATAACACCCCTACTGTGGTATATTTTATGTGGATTTGTCCTTGAAGATGTCTCAGAAGCTTTAATTACTTAAGAATACAGCAAGCTGGCTTTTAATTTGTACCTCAAGATTTATGCATGCTACAACTATTCTATTTTTTCCTCCTTAACTTTATTGGCTTTCTGTCTGTTTCTGAACTGAATTCAAGGTATTTATACTGATTTTTTAAAGCCTTAAATAGATGGGGACATGAGTAATTGAGGAACATCTGTTTCCATAACAACCTGCCCACTTAGTAAGAGCTTTCTCCCAAGGATCTTCTGTAGGTGCTCTTTGTATTATGTAAGTACATCTAAGATACTCTTTGTTAGTTGAGATGCGCCATTTCTGATTAAGGGATTCCCACCCTAAAGAAGCCTACCTGGTGGAGCTCTTGTAATGTTGCAATGTTTTGCACCATTTATTTTTTAAAGCATCTTATGGGTTTTAACATTTAAGTACTGCTTTATTATTATTTTATCATGAAAAAATGTACAACGTGGAAGATGAACATAGGGGAGAGTGGTACATCAACGGATTAGACTTATTAGTTATTGAAGCAGAAATGACAGCAGTAAGAATTTCAGCTAGGTGAAATGCTGGTTTTCATTTTGTTTTAACAATCTGAGAATAAAATAAAGAAGAAACGTCAAGGTTATCTAATTAGATAACTGAATTATGATCCACTCAGATGTAATCGGAAACAATTATGCTCAACTAAAACAATGAACTGCAATATACTTTTGCTCCTCACTTCTCCTTTCCCTTCATGACCAGAGAAGAAGTTGTTGCTCTCCTTTTCTTCCTCCTTCTTGTTTTACCCTCATTATCTATTCCCAAGATGTATGAACTAATGCTCGGTTGTGATCAGCAGTCTCCAGGTTCTTCTGATTTCCATCCCACTATTTTCCTCTTCTTGTGCCAGATCACCATGGGAACAACATTCACCATAGTAACGGCAACACGGCCACCATGGAAACAATGCTGATCATAAAAGAAACTCTCAAATACTGAGATGGAGCAGCTGAAACTTGTGAGAATTTGGGGTAGGTTTGGCTCACTTTCCTTTAAACTCCCACATATTGTTTCAATCAGCATATAGTATAGCAAAGGGGCTAGAACCAGAAGGAAATGGGAAGGCTATAGGGATAGGAAGCTTCAATAAGTACTAATCAGATATGATAAGGCACCTTTTCAAGAACCTACCTCTAAGTAGCCCTTCCTGTGACTATAGCATCCGTGAAGTAAAGTTAGCTCCACCTTTAAATTCTTCACTTTTTCCCATCATAACTCATTCCAACCATTGGAATGTTGATTGTTTATGCCATTTCCCTTCCATTTATATATTGAAAAAATATGGTTTCTTTAAACTATGGTTTATGGAAGAACCAAGAAACTATGATCTGAACTTAGCTTCTTCTCATTAACCACAGATTAATACAGAAAAATCCTCCTGGCGCTTAAATTTTCTAATCACATCTGATGCATATGCTTGTTGTAGTAATATCATTATAGCTTCATGCTGTGACCATTATCTGTCATTTTGTTAACTCCAAGAAGTACTTTAAATATTGTACTTATAAATTCTTTCAGTGCCAATCAAAATAAATTATTATTATTATTATTATTATTATTATTATTATTATCTACATTTCTATACCACTTTTCTCACCCCTGGGGGACTCAAAGAGGTTTACAACATAAAGGGCAAATTCAATGCCTCACATATATATAAAATCACATATCAAAATCAATAACATATAAAAACCGGTAAAACTATAAAAAAAATCAAACATAGACATAAGCATGAAACATATTATTGCTGCAATTAACAATGTAGACCCCTTCTCTTCTCCTCCCCCCCCCCCACTCCCCAACTCTCTCTCCATAGCATTATTTAGGTACAGATTGAATACAAAATTGGGAGGATAAAAAAAAAAGGCCTGGCCCTTCTTAGGGGATTGTAAATGTGATATGAGGTCCTTGGGGTGGGTGGAGGGAGAGTCTTTATTTGATGATGGTAGTAGGCTACTAATCAGTTTCGTAAAAGTCCAGAGGAACATAGATTTTATCAGTTGTGGTGTCATAAGTAAGGTGTGAGCTATCACTTGCCAGTAGATTGAGGATGGGGAAGGGCAACAAGTGCAGCTGCCCCTGAGGAGAGTTGGTGTGTAGGCTGCACCTTCCACTCTGGAGGAGTGAAGACTCCTGGCTTCCCTTTCACTTCCTCGTTGCTGGCTGTTGGAGGGTGGGGGCAGCGAGGTGTAGCTGCTGCTGAGTTGGTGTGTAGGCTGCACCTTCCACTCTGGAGGAGCTGAAGTCTCCTGGCCTCCCTTTTACCTCCTCCTTGCTGGCTGTTGGAGGGAGGGGACAGCGAGGTGTAGCTGCTGCTGAGGAGAGTTGGTGTGTAGGCTGCACCTTCCACTCTGGAGGAGCTGAAGTCTCCTGGCCTCCCTTTCACCTCCTCCTTGCTGGCTGTTGGAGGGAGGGGGCAGCAAGGTGTAGCTGCTGCTGAGGAGTGTTGGTGTGTAGGCTGCACCTTCCACTCTTGAGGAGCTGAAGTCTCCTGGCCTCCCTTTCACCTCCTCCTTGCTGGCTGTTGGAGTGAGGGGACAGTGAAGTGTAGCTGCTATATTGATGTACTGATTCAAATACAACACCCAGGGAGGTGGTTGTCTAGGGTTTGAGGAGAGTTGATTTAAAGAGCTTGGTGGAAGCAAAATTTGGTATGGTTGAAGCAAAACTAAAATGAAGCAAAATAACTAACAGGCCTGATCATGCTACTATTTTGCCACTAGAAAGCATTCAGTAGAATAAACTGTCAATTTCACACTTTAAAAAATAGATTTTTAATACCACGACCTCTACAAATCCAAAATATAAATTCACAAGGTAGATCAGAAGACCACTACTAGTTCTATCCAAATTAAATTATATGCATTTAACTTCCGACATATAAGCATCAGCTCGTCCAATAAAGGTAGGTCTCATAAAGAGGCCTTCGCATCCTAAATAACCCCTTCATAAAATATAGTCCTCTACCATGATAGTTAAGAATTTTATTTCAGTGAGTTAGCAAGAAGAATTTACCAAAAACACTTCATATTCAGTATTGTAAGAACTTTATATTTTAACAACAACAGCAACAACCAAATGTGGGAGAATGAAAACTGAGGAATATGTCCATCCATTAATTGTAATCCAGTAAAAGCACATGATTCTTACCTGTGCTTGAATGGAATCTAAACTGGATAGTAACCAAACTATTCATTAAGACTACTTTTTTGCAGAGTTATGGCAATACTGACATTTAAATATGTCCAGATAAATAGCAGAGACAGATGCAATGTTCTGGTGCCAGTATTGCAAAAATATTATCCTAGTCAGCAACTCTGTATAATAAACAGGTTAATCATTATTAATGCCTTGGGTTTCCATCATAAAAACATTAATCATGATGAATTAATTTGTAATTAAGGCAAATGCAATATTCATTAAACAAAAATTACTATTTCGGGGCCACAAACATGTTATGCATTCCACAAAATCTCTTGCAGTATTCCACAATGGATGCCTGTTTGGCACTGCTGCCAACATTCATACAAGTTCATTTCTCTGTTTTAATTCAATGCCATTTTACCATCTGTTTCTCTGTTAAATGAGATGAGAAAATGGTCAGTTCAGTCAAATCCCATAGTATTTGTCAGCCTGAAACAGTAAATTCCAGTAAACTAATTATTCAGTTTCTAGGTATATTCATTCCAATTATACTAATTTTGATGATAAAGCTAATGTAAAAAAAAAACCCCTAGCAAACCTGCAAAGTAACAATTACTCTCTTTCAATTTGAAAAGGAGTTCAGTATTAAAATGCTATTTTCATTTTTTGTAAAGATTGAATAATAGCATCAAAGAGTTGGAAAGTGATAATCTAGTCTGGGGTAGCAAAATGAAGCTCCCTATGCCTCCTTAGAGCGCTATCAAACATAACCACTGATTTTAAAATTCTGAGAATCATAGTCCAACAACACCTGGAGATTACCATGCTGCGAGTTCCTTTATATATTCCATCCTTGCTCATTGAAGGATGTAGTTACAGCATCCCTGTCACATGACCATCTCACCCTGATGCAGGCTATTCCATTGCTGAACAACTCTTATTAGGACATTTTCACCACCCCAGTTTCTAGCCCTTAGTTCTGGCCCTATCATTTAAAGATATAAAGATTGTGTTATCTCCTTTCAAACTAAGCACAATTAGCTTCTGCAGCTATTCTGCATAGGCTGGGGTGGCAAGTTGTGAAGGGCTACTTTTGCCGCCTCCTGGACTACCACAGGTCACACTCTGGTCTCTGACACTCACCCCTGCAAATAAATTAGTTTAAAAAAGTCCACATCAGAAATCTTGAATTAATTAATCAATCAATTAATTTATTATTTGAACTTATATGCCGCCACTCCCCGGGGCTCGGAGCGGCTTACAAGAACGGCTAAAATCGAACACAATTTAAAACAATTTAAAAACAATCAGAGATCAAAGGCCCGTCGAAATAGATATGTCTTACATGCCCTGCAGAAAGCTGATAAGTCCTACAAGGCACGGACTTCAGGTGGCAGAGTATTCCAGAGTGATGGTGCTACTGCTGTGAAGGCTCTGCGTCTGGTTGCTGTTAGACGCAAGGTCTTGACACTGGGAATTTCCAATAGATCTTGGTCCTCAGAATGGAGGGATCTCTAGGGTTGGTAGGGGGTGAGGCAGTCCCTCAGGTACATCGGCCCCAGACCATGCAAGGCCTTAAAGATGAGTACCATCACTTTGAAAGTGATCCGGTGCTCAATTGGTAACCAATGCAGCTGTAGTAAGGTTGGTGTTATGTGGCATCTCATCGGAGTTCCCGCAAGAAGCCGAGCAGCTGCGTTTTGTACCAGCTTGAGCTTCCGGATCACCAACAGATGAAGGCCAATGTAGAGGGCGTTACAGTAGTCCAGTCTTGAGATGACCATAGCCTGGATTACCGTAGCTAGGTCATCCCTGGACAGGTAGGGGGCCAGCCGTCTAGCCTGCCACAGATGAAAAAAGGCGGTTCTGCAAGCCGCGGAGACTTGGGCCTCCATCGTCAGCAGAGGGTCCAAAAGGATTCCCAGACTCTTTACCAATGGTGACGGGTGTTGCACCTCACCATCCAGGGTAGGCAGCTGGATATCCCCACTGCCTGGTTGACCCAGCCATAGGATCTCTGTCTTTGCTGGATTCACCCTCAACCTGCTGGCACGCAGCCATCCAGTAACGGCCTCGAGGCACTGATGGAAACAATTGGGTACAGAGTCCGGTCGGCCTTCCATCTTCAGCACAAGCTGAGTGTCATCAGCGTACTGCTAACACTCAAGCCCAAAACCTCGAACAAGTTGAGCAAGAGAATGGCCCCCTGAGGAACCCCACAAGATAGAGGGGACCTCTCAGAGACCAGGCCTCCCCTCTCCACTCGCTGTCCACGGTTGTGAAGAAAGGAGGACAGCCAGTTTAAAGCTGTCCCCCTGACTCCAGCAACAGCAAGGCGGTGGGTCAAAAGATTGTGGTCGACTGTGTCAAATGCTTCTGTGAGATCCATTAACACAAGCAGCGCTGACCCACCCTGGTCAAGCTGGCATCGAAGGTGATCCGTGATGGAGACCAGCACAGTCTCTGTCCCATGCCCTGCACGGAAGCCGGACTGGAAGGCATCTAGTCCGGCTGTGTCATCTAGGAATTTCTGCAACTGCTCCACTGCTGCCCTCTCAATCACCTTGCCCAGGAACGAGAGATTTGAAATTGGGCGGTAACTGGAGGGAACCAAAGGATCTAAATCTGGTTTCTTCAGCAGGGGAGAGACCACCGCCTCTTTTAGGGACTAGCGCCCCTAATATAAGATCGGCTTCTAAGGGACACGAATAACTTTTCTATTAAATAAAAATTAGGAGTTGTGGGATGATCCAAACATGTATTTTGTCTACCCTGAGCTCTGTTCCATCCTATAAAGGAGAACACGCTAAATTAATCCATTTTTACCTTCAAAATGAAAAAGAAATCTCTAAAGAGTCTGAAACCCTGGAATTTTCAGTTTTCTTCTTTCTGGGCATTTCTACATGGGGTATGTTAATCCGGAGCATTTGAGCCCTTGAGCCCACACAGATCTGCTGAATGCATGGTCATGTGTCCAGATACTACTTTATCTGTGTGTCTCTGTCACTCCTCACAAGACACAGAGCTCCATATGACCTTCTTGCTGGTCACAATGGGGTATCCATGGGACCAGCAAGGAGGAAGTATAGTGTGTGAGCACCATGATGACCAGGCAGTCACAGGGAGCTATGTGGCTGGTAAGTAGTAGTGGCAGTAGTGACATGCTGATGACATATCCGTGTAGGGAAAGGATGATGTGCATCTGGTCTATGGCATGGGCTGCAATGTGGCCATTCAGCTGTTCAAATGATTGCAAGGCCCAAGAAGTTTCCTGCAAACTATTCTCCGACTTAGCTAAATTCAAAGCAAAGGTGGGTTAAGGGCATCATACTTATCTGTAATCACTATGTATCATAAAAACTGCCAGAAAGTGTTTAATTGTATAAAGAAGCCCTCTGTTAATTGTTATTGAATGGATAATAATATACTCAGTTTCAACTTTGCATACCTCCCATATTGAAGAAAGGCAGGATAAAAATGAAGTAAGTAAGTAAATAAATAAATAAATCTTCCTCTCCTTTTCCAGGGTAGAATATTGAACCACATACATTGGTTTACGTGTTTTGTAGGCAGACATTTTTCAACAGAAGGCAGTCCTAAAACTAAAGTATCTGCAACATTGTTTTGTATTAATTTTATCACATTTTTTTAAAAAATCACATATATTGCTAGTAGATGGGGTAGCAGATTCTGCTGTAAGAAACACTCAAAGGAAGACTGTGCATGTACATTTAGAAAATTGTCTCACTCAGTTCAATAGAACTCACTCTGTATAACGTTACAGCCACAGTGATTTCAAAGAGCAATTTTCAATCTTTGGTTTTCAAGTTGAAATGTTAAAAAAGAGATGTGACATCCCAAATTAGTGATTGTGTGACATAAGTTAAAATATTTCAATTACTCCAAGTCAATACAATTAGAAATTTCTGTAGTTAATTGTACATTCATTCTTTTAGGATTTGACATAGGTGTTTATTTTTTTTAATAATATAAACAGAAACTGTTTTTGAAGAAACCAAGCAGAATGACATACAACAGTATTTGTTTAATGTGTTATTTGTAGGGCCAATTCATGGCAATTTGTTGCTCATGGCATATTGAAAATATATTTCATTGAACCTACATTTTATCTATCCCAAAATCGTGTACAGTAGGCACTTGATAATCCACTGGGTTTTGGTTGCAGGGCTCCCCTTGGATCTGTAGATTATATAAAAGTACCTGTATTTACTTGAATTTAGTGTACCATTGAATCTAATGTGTACCGCAATTTTAAAAACCTTGAAATCAAAAAGTATTTGCTGGCAAATGTAATGTGCAGTAGCAAAAAGTGCACTCTTTGTAATTTGTTCCAAAAAGTGTGCTTTACAATTGCTGTGTGCTTAGAATTCCTTTTTTTAAAAAAACAAAACAAACACAACAAAACCCAAAAATTGTTAGAACACCCAAGCTTCCAGCTATGGAAAGTAACACCTGAGAATCAAGTAACCCTATCCTAAAGAAGACTTTCCTGTTCAGTTTCTTTGGATGAATCTATCTATATTGTAGAATGAATGCAGCTTGGCACCACTTTCATTACCTTGGCCAAAAGCTGTGGAATCCTGGGACTGTAGTTTTCAAAGGTCTTGAGTCTTTTCAGCCAAAAGGTGCTGCTTTATCAAACTACAAATTCCTGGATTCCATAGCTTTTCCAAAAATATTAGGCTTATACAGATAGATGCATCTTAGTGCTTACTTAGTGCTACAAATATTCTGATGATAAATTCCATTGCTTTGATTTCTCCTTCCGTAGCCAACAGGACACTGACAAAAAAGTCATATGGCATCATTTGCCAGTGATTAATAAGACACCTGTCTGAAAGCTCAGTTGTTGTGTGTGGTATATTTATTGTGTGTGTGTCTAGGGCTGGGGAGTTGCCCATTAATTACTGCCTTATACCTTCCCTCCCAGAGATGGAGGCAATCCAAAGGAAGACAGGCAGCTATGTTAGTGTTGTCTATCCTTGTGAAGCTGGGCTTGCCACCTGCTGCAGCTCCTCTTTCTTACTCACTTGCCCCTTGGCATGTTCCCTACATCACAAGTCCTCTCCTGATTTTTCTTTCATCTCTTAGCTTTCTTCAGGCCTCCAAAAATCTTTTTTCTCTTTTCTTTTCTCTCTTGCATTTCCCCCTCTGCTTTGCAAGTTCCCTCCTGGCTTCTCTTGTGCATGCTTGCCCCACAGCTTCCTCCCCTTTTCCTGAGGGGTAATAGCTGAAAGTTGGGTGAGTGGGGGATGTGCATCCAAATGCCCTCCAGCAGCCATTGTAGGACTAGAACAAAAGACTTCTGCAAAGACCCAAGAGCATTCTGGTCATAGAACATCTGTGTAGGGCCTAAATCTTGTTGTTTATGGAAACCTTCATTATGTAGTACTGCAAACTGATGAGTACTGTCAATAATAGGTCAAGTTGTTTATTCTTTATCACAAATATGTGCAGTGTTTAATTCTGACAATTTTAAATAGTCAGAAACTCTGTTGACTAATTGACATGGCATTTAAGCTGAGCTGTCATGGTGTGGTGTGTGTGAAATACTGCCTTCACCAGTGCACCAAATATCTACTCTTGTTTTTTATTTAATACAGAAAATTAAAAGGAAATCTTTCAAAGGAGTGCCTATTAATCATATCCAATACTATACAGTAAATGTGAAAACCACAGATTATTTTTCCAAGAAAGAAAAGGCTAATTTGCTGGAGGCAGTGGAGAAAATCATTAGAGAACTGGAAGAATTACTGGAGTCACTTGAAAATACCATTTAAAACTCTGAGCAATTCTACAGAGACTTTATGGATTTTTACTTTATCCAGTGGTTGGGGAACTGAGAACTGAAAGGTCAGTGCCATAATACAAAATATGAGTAGATTAGGGGGTGGGGGGTCTGCTAATAGGAACCATTTTTTTTGTATTACTCTCATATTGGCCTTTGGGATTCTAAGTTACTATAAATAGTACTTTTAACAATGGTTTATGAAGCAATATTTGATGCAATTGGTAATAATGCTAAAGTTTTAAATGCATTCACTTGCAAATAATTTTCATTCATAGCTATCTGCTTAGTGGAGGACAAATCAACAAATTATGTGAGGTTTTAGGAAGGTTTTTTGCAAAACACCCAAACTATTCTGAAATTGCCCAGTTCTGCTCAGTTATTCAGATCTGGTGAATTATTCCAATACAAAATATTGGATTAGATGAAGGCACTTTTAGGTTAATTGTAACAAATGGTTATAGCCTCCTTATGTACTTCAATTCTTTTGTTAAACCCACTTCTTTTTTCTCATATTAGTTTAATTTGACTATTTTTCATGATAACTCAATGAGATGTGCATTTTTTTTATTATTTAAATGAGGTTTGGGAAAATAAAATGAGATACTTCTCATCCGTTTGTGCTGTAGCTACTCTCATCCTATATTTTATTTTATTCCAGATTGCATGCCTTTCTTGCATGGACTTCACAGACTCCATCAGGTTTCAATGTATAGAAGATCCCCTGTTTGCAACTGTGCTTCTTTAGAAGTCACACTTTTAATGTTTTCCTAAAAAAAAGTAGCATAATTGTTTCCAATGTCATTGATATTTACAATGTAGTTGATTTTGCAAATTGATGTTGCAACTTACAATGTACATAATTTGAAATGTTCTGGCCAAAAGAGAATTTGTGCCTGAAATAGTTGGTTCCTTGATTGTTTTCAGTTAATTGGAACAGAGAAGGTAGCAGGAGGGTTTGTCTTATGGACAAAATGCAGACCTCACTCAGCATGGACTACTGTATTACTTCACTTTCAGTGTTTATCTCCAGATTGTGACTTTTCATTGATTCTGCTATGCTTTACTGACATTTTTAATATTGTTTACTGTATTCTTGTTGTTTTTCCTGCCAGCTACAAAACTTAGTTGATTTTGAAGAAGTTTTGAAGGGGGAATGTTCCAATGTATCTAAACTTTCCTTGCACACTGAATATAGATAAAAGTCACAATTATAATTCTGCCCAATTCTGGCCATTCCTACTGCAGGAATGTAGGAACTCATGCTCTGCAGCAGCCTTCAATTGAGATAATATGGGGATGGAATTGAGAAAATACGCTGGTATGTGTGATCAGTGGCCATCTGCAAATCTGCCTTGGGTCTCTTGGGCTCCTGGACAGCCCCTGCCCCCTCCTAAAAAAAGCCTTAAAAAGTAAAAATGACTTACCCGGCTGACATTTTCCTGCTGCCAGCCCTCTCCTGGCATGTAGAAATGATGTGCTAGGAGAAGGGGGGAGAGGGAAAATTGCTCCTGTCCCTTCTCCTTTTTCCTGGCATATCATTTCTACACACCAGGAGAGGGTCGGCAGCAGAGAAATGCCAATCTGGTAGGATTGTTTTTAACTTTTTAAGGCTTTTCTGGTTGTTGTTTTTTTTGTGGTGACTGGTGACCAGAAGGTCTGGGTGGGCATCTGGACACCCTATTGGGCATCTGTTCCTACTGATTAAAGTGAGTGTTTATAATGTATAAGTTGCAAATGGGTGCATGCTTTCAAATCTATTTTTTTTTCTGTCTCAAAAATGCATCCAAACTCCAGATCTCTTACAAACCACGTGTTTATCTGCATTTAATCTCAGAAATAAAAGCTCAATATATCATTTGAAACAAACCTTTACTACTACAACTCCCAGAAATCCCAGCCAGTTTACCAGCTGTTAGGATTTCTGGGAGTTGAAGGCCAAAAACACCCCAGGTTGTGAAGCACCGCTTTACAGAGTGAATTGCTCACATATCCTTAGCATGGTCCTCTGTGGGATTTCCTTTCTCCTGTTTATAGAGAAATTTACAAGATGCAAGTGTATCAGAGCACGTTCTTTTTTCTTACAAAATATGCATACATTTTAGCCATTGTAAATTGAACACATTATTAAAATATGCCTATCAAATACAGATGCTCTAGTACTTAAAATCTTGATATTTTAAATATAATTTGATACATTCCATTCTTGTTTGGTGAAGGTCTTTGGGTTGTGTGATTTTTTTCTTCTTCCTTAGAGCAAACCAACAACCCATTATGTGCCAATTATTTTGCTCTGCTAATTTAAACCTTACAGTTTAATATTCATATTTTAATGTTCATATTTTAAAGGCTTTGAAGGCTCTCACCCTTTCTATTTTGTGAATCCTAGTGATCCATGAAGGCTTATAATGAATTGTCAATTTTATATTGATTGCCTTTAAAAGGCAATGAAATGCATAAAAAGTGTTGCAAGAACTTCATTGTTAAACAATACAGCCATCTGTGGAGACTATCAAGGAAAGGGCAAGTTAATAAAGTTAGGCAGAGGGACAGGAACCAATATCAAGATCCAACAGAATAAAATTACTTTTCATTATCAGCAAATAATATGTGGTTGGACAACTTCCCTAATATATGAGTTGGGGAAAATGCATGTTTATTTAATAGTCTTTTGCAGGAAACCTGCATTGCAATAAAACCGTGATTCTAAACTAGTGAGATGGAACTTATCACTGTGTCATAGGAGACCTGTGGACTAAGGTTTCTGAAAGCTAGAGGTATATATAATACTATGGATGAGGCTATTGAGAAGTTAGAGTACTGAAACAAAGAATTTAGTTCTGAAGAAGCCAATTTTTGCTCAGTCTCTGAAGTTGCCTTTCCCTCTGTAAGTGGAGAAGATTAAAGGAAGCATGCTGTAATGCACTAAAGAAATTGAACCAAAGAAGAGTACTATGCCATCACTAGTGTTCAGGTTTGCCTCTTTCCAGTTATATTCTCAATAGCTTGTCTTTACATAAGTGAATGATTTCTGTCAGTTGAATTAGTAAAAGAAATAGTGTTGCACTTTGGAAAATACATTATTGGCACTTCTATCAATACAAAACACCATACTGTGATAAACAATCAGTAAAGAGCTCCTAAATTTCAGGCTCTTTACTGCTGGGCTGCTGATAGGATATCACAGGTAGTCTGCAACTAGTTGTAGGATACAGTGTGGCTAACAGATTGAGTCAGCAGGGTTGCTTACCCATGATGAGAGATTTCTTTGAGGAGTTTTAAAATGAAATGGTTACCTGGACTTAAGATTGCCACCTCCCTGAAAAAAATATTGTAGATGAACAATTCACTGACTATTCTCTTACACTATTAAAGAATAAGTCACTTGTGTATTTCATACCCAGAGATTGCGAAACGATATAATACAAAATGAATAATCACTCCAGAATACTTATGTGGTGTTATAATTTGTCAACTGTCAGAAACAATAAAGCCAGATGTGGCCATGCCAGTGGTGCCATGGTAAGCGCCTCTAGCATTAGAAGTTGAAACTTTTGGTACGCATTCCTGATGAACTAGTCAGTGACCATCTTGGAATCTCTAAGATGAGTTGTTCTTTAAACACATTTGTCTGCATATTTGTTTTCTTAAAAAATATTCCTGTCAATTACCCTTTCACTATCCCTTTAGTTGTCTTGATCTGGGTCAGAATCCCTGCTCAGCCACTGAAAGCTACTGGGTGACCTTGAACAAATCACACTCTTTTACCCTCAGTGAAAGGTCATGGGAAACTCTTCTGAACAAATTCTGCCAAGAAAACTGTGCATCCTAGAGTCTCCGTAAGTTAGAAATGATTTGAAGGCATACAACTTGATATTTCAACATAAGCTATAATGAATAGGAGAGCTATAAATGTAGGGAGTATGAATCTCTTCTAAAACAAGATCTTCTCAGCCTTCAAACACATAAAAACATTCATACGTTATTCCTCAAGAATTGAGACTGAACTCTGGGTCACTTCCAGGTTGACATGGTTTTGCTGATGTAGTACCCACAAGATCCTGTGGCTGGAGAAATGGCAATCTGACTTCTGAGTATCCAAGGAGTGGGTATGATGAAACTACATGTTCTTAGCAATAGAAATATTTTAAAAGAAAACCTCATAAAATTTAGGGTAAAATCATCATGATCCACAAATTATTTAAGAAAAACAATTTTTATCTGTTCCCTCTTCATAATTTTAATAGGACCAACTTTGTAGATGGAAGTTAGATAACAAGGGATGAAGGTGAGAAGTACCCATATATTTTTTTGGTCATCAAAACAAACTTTAGACAATAAACTAGACTGGGGATTGATGGACCATGGGAAAAATTTCTTGGGGTTGTGAGCTTAAATTTAAAAAATCAGTTTATTATTTTTGTAAAACATAATTTTGAATAATCCTAAAATTTAATTTAAAGACATGTTAGGTGTCATAAAACTATCTACCAAACATTCTGAGAAGGGTTCTGTGATTTTCACTTAATTGAAAAAGGGGTCTATGGAACAAAAAAAACCACTGGACTTGTACTAATATAGCAGATGGAATGAATGTGAAAAACGGCAATGTGAACTTTAAAATAGGGTACATGAAAACACAGAGAACAGCTATCTATCCTAAATCCTTTGAACTGCCATTGAAAAAGATTCAAAAGACTCAGTAATGTGTCTGTAGTCTGTAAGTAGAGCCTGGGAATGTGAATAAAATATCTCATAAGAAATAATAAATGATAAATATCACAATCCTGCCCACCATACCGTAAGGATCTATTCTTAATCAAAGTGTATAGGCTGTATGTAAGAGTATGGCACAGAATCAAACTTTCTGAGAGGGAAGAGTTCTACCTTGGTCAAATATTAAGGTATTTATTCATGTGCAAAGCTTTGAAATCATCAGCCTCATTCAATTCCTTAGATTCTTCTTTTCCCTTGGGCTCTTCTTCAGTAGCTCTAGCATTCTTTAATGAAATATTCTTCAACCATGTAAGAAAAGAGAAAATTGAGTCAGCGGTCCCCTCAGTATTGTTTTGTCACTGTGTGCATCTGCCTGTTTACTCTACAAAAAGTCTGAAGTCCTACTACTGATAACTGCTTTATATCTGATTATAAATAGCAGCGTAGTACATTTTTGAAAATGTTGTGATCTAAGTCACCATTCATATTGAGAAAAACAGTAGTAATTATTTCTTTAAAATGTTTGTGGGAGGCTAAATTGGTATTGTTTTCCAAATACAGAAAAGGGCAATATTAATGGCATATCATTGATGCATCAGGATCAGCCCTGCAACTGGATCCACATTTCTGTTATACATTGAATGTGCAGCGTCTTCTATTAAATTAATCAAGCTTAATAGGGAGAATGAATAATTTCATGAAGCCTCTACTTTGGGCCAGATATCATCAAAAACTATGCAGGGGTCCTCTGAAGCATTATCCCATGAAGCATTGGGAGTGTAAGATGTATTTCTTCACTTAGGTTGCATTTATATTATAGAATATAATATAGAATTAATGCAATTTGACAACATTTTAACTGTCATGGCTCAATATTATAAAATCCTGGTATTTGTTGTTTGATAAGGCACCAGTACTCTGTCAGAGAAGGCTAAAGACTTTGTAAAACTACAACTCCCATTAACTGTCTTGTGGCAGTTACAAAGATTGTTAATTCTACAATATTGATGCTCCCCCAAACAATAGTAGTTGCTCTTCTTTACACAGCATTTCACTCCAGAATTCTATAGGCCAGTGGTTCTCAGCCTGTGGGTCCCCAGATGTTTTGGCCTTCAACTCCCAGAAATCCTAACAGCTGTAAACTGGCTGGGATTTCTGAGAGTTATAGGCTAAAACACCTGGGGACCCACAGGTTGAGAACCACTGCTATAGGCACATTCACCTAAACTTTCAGTATAATTAGTATGGTAGGGCCTAAAAAGCCTAAAGGAATCAGATTCCAATTGACCTTAGAAGCTTAAGTAACATCAGAAAAGTCAATTTGGTGTACATTTTTTCTCAGAGGTAGTGCTTATGGGAAAATAATATTGAAATATTGATTCCTAAAATGCTATTTTCTGTGCAAATCAGCTATGTGCAAATTTTACACATAATAAATCTCCAATTGCAACATTTTCGGTGCATGAAACATCATTTTATGGATAGATAAAAAAATCAACACAGAAGGTTTAAGTCCTTCACAATATAATATGTGAAAATTATGTGTTGAATAAGTCCAAATTGTGAAGATTCTCATCAGTCCAGGCTTGTTCTTATCTAGGATTTTGAACACTCAAAAACATGTTTTTCAACAGTTTTCTGAAAATCTTTGAATATTCCTTTTATCCCTAAGGAGGGATTTCAGCCTTATATCTTTTAGAC